AAAGCAGCAAAATGATTTTAGAACAGGAGTGAGGACATTCTCAGACACCATCTCAATCAGTAGGCCATTGGGGAGGGCTGTCTGTAGCTGTCTGCCTCCTGCAGCAGTCACCAGGGTCAGTGTTTGCTATGTACCCAGATAATCCAAGTTAAAATACTACTACAAAAATGGCAAATCCATTTGAGGGAGATGGTGTCCTGGCTACCTCTGTTACATGGGTTAATAAAGGAAGTCACTTGGAGATTTAGCTAGTAGTAACATTTGCCTTGTGTATGCAAGTAAAGGTTTCATCCCCAGCAAAATGAACAGTGTGTGTGTGTGTGTAAACATACAATACACACACACACACACACACACACACACACACACATTTATGAGACCAACATATTGCCACTGCACCAAGAGGATGATGACTCTGTGTGTGTGTGTGTGTGTGTGTTCATGCTAGGTGTTGTAGTGAGGGCTTATAATCCTAGCTACTAAGGAGGATGAAACAGGAGGGTTGCAGGTTCTAGGATACCCTGAGCTACATAGCAAAGTGTCTTCTCAAAAAATAAAGGAGCCAAACGAATTAATTTTAGTGAAATGCATAGTGTTCCTGAAAAGTTTAATCTTGATTTTTAAAATCCTGTCCTTGTGAGAATTTTCATCATTTCTGATGGCCCTTCAGCAATAAGTCTTTTAACTTTAAGTGTCTTTGTCCTCTGGCTGCATTTTTATACAGGGACACCAAAGGCTTTAAGAAGGCTTCAATCTTAATCATAATCCAAAGTAATATTTTACCATTTCTGTGTCTTACAGTGCAGTACCAATAAACATCAGAAATCTTCTGAAGTGCTTGAGATGGAAGGAATCTGGGGGTTTCTGCATATTAGCTAAGTGCTTCCTCCCAGTCAAGTGTTCCCCCCACTACATTTCTAGCCCCCACCCCAACCTCTTCATGTTGAAGTTTGAGGTGGTGATTCTCTTGTATTTTTAACTTGTTATTTTATATGTGTGGTGTTGTGTCTGCATGTATGTGTATACCAAATATATGCCCTTGCCTGTGGAGGCCAGAAAAAGGTGTCAGATCCCTTGTGGTTGCTGGGAACTGAACTCTGGCCTGCTGAGCCATCTCTCCAGCACAGGTAGTAACTAGATTAAGAGGATGTGTATATCCAAGTTTGTGTGCACAGTGTATATGTATACAGTGTGAGCATATATGCACAACGTGTGTGTGCAAGTGTGAACATATATGCAGTGTGCATGTGCACTGTGTGTGTGTGTGTGTGTAAGTGTAAGCATGTATACAGAGTTTTCTCAGAACCTCTCATTTAGCTCCCTTCCAAAACTCTAGATCAGTGGCCCTCAACCTTCCTAAATCTATGATCCTTTAATACTTTTCTTCATGTTGTAGTGAACTCCCAACCATAAAATTATTTTCATTGTTACTTCATCAGTGTAATTTTGTTACTGTTATGTATTCATAACAGTGATGTAAATATCTGATGTCTTAGGCACCCCACTTAGGAGAACCACTGCTCTAGAGGGGGAGATTTTTCATATGCAAATCTTGACACCTGGAGCTTCTGACCACACCCCCCAGCTGAAGCCCCCAGGCTGGCTCAGTCCCTTACCCTCCAGCTCTTTGCCCTAGCCAGATGCTTTGGTCCCCTCTGATTGGATCTTGGCCACACAGAGATGTTACAGAGATAAATTATCTAATTCCAGAAGGAATCAGATGGACTCCAAGAATCAACAATGACTGTGTTGGAGACATGGAATTTTCACCTTGCCAAGCTCATTAATTCTCTAATTTATTCACTATTCAGAAGAAACCTTTTTAAACATAACCCCCTAGTCCAGACTATTTCTGTGAGATGTTATCTCCCCTATTATACTCCTGAAACTGAGTCATGAATCTGTCCTCACCACATATAGCAAAGTGCCTCTTGGTTAATCCCTAACTGTGTCATATGTGATGACTCCCAAGGAAGTGCTTAGAACATCTGCCACCATATTCCATGAATTGCACAAACATGATGGCTGCTATTCTGAGGAATTCCACAGTAAGGGATTACTAGATGCTGCAGGCATTGGCAGGATTCTACTCCGGAAGGCAAACATTTTGGAGAAATTTCTGCATTCAAAGTATCAGTGTTTGTCTAAGTTAAATTCAGAAAATCTTGAGTCACATTTAATCCTGAAGAATTAATTGAGACAGGAAAGTTACCCACACATGTATCCACCCTGTCTCTTTCCAGTACATACCATTGAAGCTGGACACAAACGCCAATAATCTCAGGGGTGTGGGGTGAGGTAGCAGGGACGTGTCTTCCTCCAGTTCACTGCACATGACACCAAGGCTCTCTCAGCCTGGAGTGCCTTGTGAATGCTCCCAAGTGTGTTCTTTATTCAGGCATTCTAAGAACTCTGATGCTGCGCTCAGCTCATTATATGCACAAGTGTCAAGTGCCTGCTATGAAATATCCCCCTACCCTTCCAAAGCTTGTATTCCAGAGAGGAGCTAGAAAGGACATGGATGAATGGTAATCCAGGGGGTAAAGAAACAAAGATGGTAGAGGGTGAGGGAGAAGGATATACAATAGGGCCTTTGCTGGCTGCTAGATTTCTTCTGCCACACCTTCAGAATAAGTGATGACTTAATCTAGACACCTGGACGGTCCCTGCCTCCTTCCACACATCATGGGCCTATTACAGCTTTTGGAAATGTGTGCTGGCCTGTCTGGACCATTCAAACTGTCTCAGACTTTGTCCCCTGTCCTCTCTGGACAAGATCACCCCATTAGGAAGCTCTGCCCTCCTTTTTGGGAGCCTGCCCCCTCTTTAGACCTTGTAGTCCTTCCATTCCTGACCAGGGCAAGTCATGTGAATTGCTACAGTCCTTCTATACTTTATGTTCATTGTTTCCAGTGATTGTCCCAGAGAACACTGCCCTCTCTGGCTGTACCATCAGGATGGTCTGTGTATATACTGACTTGGCAACACTACATCTTAATCCCCCAGACAGCATGGCAAATACTCCACTAAGCATGCATATAACTAATGACTAAGGTTTCGTTTTCCCTTTCCCATACAGCCCCCAGGGCCTGGGACAATGCATAAGAAGTTTAGGCAAAGTCTTTGGGAGAAGATAGGCTGTGTAGCTGCAGGAGCAGTTGGGCATTAAAAGCCTCAGGCCCCACCCTGGTACAAACATGTGTAGGAAGAAGGAAAGAAAAGCAGCTCAAGGAGTCCTGAGCCATATATGTAGACGTGGAACATCGAGTGGTAACTGATTGAGCCATGTATGTAGGGAGGATGTAACATTGAGTGGTAACTGGCTGGAGGTTACCTTTCTATGATGTCCTCTAAGTAGGGGATCCTGAGACCTCCTTGTCTGGATACTGTTGATGCAAAAAACAAAGTAACAAAACAAAAACAAAACACCAGATCTCAAAAGGAATAAGAGATGGTTTATTCTGGAGCCATTCTAGAAACACAGATTTAGGTTATGTGGAAGCTGTTTCATAAGTCTTATAATCTTATCAAGCAAAGAAAGTCATAAGTCAAGGAAAGTTTAAACTACATTAGTGAGTATATGAAGAGAGGTGGTTACAGCATATTGGAGAAGCTTTTCTATAGGTCTAAGAAGTTGACATCCTTAGCCTTTGAACTGGTGGAAGTCAGTAGTCTTCTAAGCTAATAAATTCCAAAAGGTTTTCATCTATTAGTCACTGGATGTGGATCTGAAGAGGAAAAGGAATGGCTGTTCTAGGGGATATAGCTATCTCAAGACAAGGTAATTAGCTTCTGAACCTGCAACATCCACAGTCCTGTAGATCTAGTCAGTCTCCATAGACGGCTGGCTCCTTTCTGGTTCTCATTCCCAGTACAGCAGCTTCTTACATGATCACTTACCATGATAATGTGCAGAGCTCAGAAGGAGCCTCAAGACCCCAGGTGTGGGCTCAAGGCCCTGTGAATGCTGAAGGTGGGGAATCACAGTCCAAGTAGCCACCCTGATAACCAAGTACCCCAAATAATGCACACCAACAGAGACAGAAGCCTTCAGATAACAATGCTTCAGTTACTGGACAGATAGACTTGTGACACTGCACATCATGAGACTTAAAATCACACATTACACACATACACATTATACATACAATATATATAATATACATGTTATATACATGCTATGTTGTGTTATATATATTATCTATACACATTTAATATATACAGACATTATACACATAATATATACACATACATACCATGTACACATTATACATACACACTACATAAATGCATATTGGACACACAATATATGTACATATTATACAAACTGCATACATACATTATATAAATACTATATATACATATACACACTATGTATATACAATATACAGACTGTATGTATATGCACACATGTAAACACACATACATGCATACATACACATATGCATGCACACATATACATACTCCACAGCTGTTTGTGTGGAGGAAAGTTTAAATGTTCAAGGATTCTAAACCAATTTTCCCAAAGACACATACATTCCTTGGATAGTGACTATGTATGTCTAGGTGCCCTGTGTAGAATAACTACCCTCCCAGCTGGACTAAAAGTCCTCTAATTTTCTTTAATTTTTTTTTAAGTAAACATAGGATATGGCATGGAGACTGTCCAGAACTCCTCTAGAAAGAGCCAGGCCCAGATTCATGAGAAGCCCCACTAGGAACATCTCCCCTGCAGAACAAAGCAGACACCCTTTAGCATGAAGCTGCCTACAGTTCCTGTCATGGGGAGTCCTGCTTTGTGGGATCTCTAGCCTGCAAACCTTCCATGGAGCTGGCCCTGGGGGGACAATCCTTCCAAGTCTCAGTAAAGAAAAATAAGTCTTTGGGCTTGTCTTTGTTGCCTTCCTCTGACTATATTTACAGGACTATCTTTACAGGTCTCCATTGGACAGTTCTCCCAGAGACACTAACACATGGGGTTCAACTGTGTGTTTCTGCAGAAGGAGAAGAAGAGCGGGCTGCTGAAGCTGCTAGCTGGGGCATCTGCCAAGAAGAAGTCACGCTCCCCACCATCTATATCTCCAACCCACGACCCCCAGTCAGCCATGGATGCCTCACTGCAGGGTGCCATGGGCCCTGAAGTGTCCCCATTGACCGTCCATGGCAGGGCAGGTTCCTGCCCCATAGAAAGTGAGATGCAAGGAGCCATTGGGTTGGAGCCACTGCACAGAAAAGCCGGCTCCTTGGATCTGAATTTCTCTTTGTCCCCTTCTCGGCAAGCAACTCTATCCATGACTTCCATCCGCCCTGAACCGAAGCCACTGCCCAGAGAGAGGTAAGGAGGTGAGGGCTTTTATCTGTGTCCTCTATTTAGAACTAACACCTAAGTTCTGAAACCTTGGGGATGGGCAAAAGATTCCCAGGGGTCAGGTTTATCATATGTTCCTCTGGGTATATTTCTTATTTGCAGCCTGCCTTGTGTCTTGGTTAGGGTTTTTCTTGCTGTGTTGAGACACCATGACCATAGCAACTCTTATAATGAAAACATTTAATTGAGGGGGCTCACTTGCAATTTCAGAGGTTCAGTCCTTTAGTTTGTGGCAGCATGCAGACAAACATAGCTGAGAGTCCTGTATCTCACAGGCAACATGAAGTCAACTGAGACACTGGGCAATATCCTGAGCATAGGAAACTTCAAAGCCCATCCCCCTTAGTGACACAGTTCCTCCAGCAAGGCCATACCCATCCATCAAAGCCACACCTCCTAATAGTGCAACTTCCTGTGAGATTATGGGAGCCAATTACATTCAAACCACACCTTCCTTCCTGGATTTGAGCTTGTAAATGAACCTTGTAAATATGTCCATACCACTGTGACTCAGAGCACTGGGTTTTCAACCTTTGAGGACCCTCAAAAGAACCCTGCAGAGTCCCCTGTGGCCTGTGCCTCATCCACTCACCCAGAAAAGCAGTTCTCCTTTGACCCTCAGGACATTGTGACATCTTAGTGTTATGAAATGTTCTAAGTTGTGTATATAGTCTATCCAGTCAAACCATTCACAATTGCCAATATTCATCCATTTTTATCCAAACTAGCAAGTCAATGTAATTCAACCTCAAGTTTCATAGATTTGGAAACTGAGCCCAGTGATAGGTAGGACCTGCTGAAGTCACAGGCTAAGGGGCAATAGATTGTACAAGATTTCTAAGTAGTAGGGTGTCTGCTTTGTGAATGGATCTGTGTGTTTGAGTTTACAACTAAAGACTGGAAGGTCTTATAATGGTATGACAGGTACCACCTTGCCTAGACTCTACTAGATAAAGCACTGCTTAAACAATAAAAAATATAAAACTATCATCCTGAGAGCAACAATGGCATCTGTTAGTCTCTGCACTGCTCAATCACTTGTTACCTGAGCCAGAGAACACAGCAGCTGTTCTGCATGCTAACTTGAGACCACACCTCCAGGCGTCAGGCAGTGGGTAGACAAGGGTCATAGAGGCTTCTGTCAGAGGCCTCTATGGGTATCACTGATGCTGTGGACTCTGGGATGTCCATGGCACTCTGCTGTGCCATAGGAAGACTGTCATAGACTAGAAGCACCTAGTGGCTTGGTGTTCCAGAAAGCATTGAGCAAATTTCAGATTTCTTGCAGCAGCTTTCTAGTGTCAAAAATCTCTGGAATCATTTTTTTTAACCATATTGAAAATGCAATAGTACCCATAGCTCTGCTAGCACACAGCCACAAACTATGGTTCTAGATGCTTTTGAGCTGAATCTATGGTGCTGTTAGATCAGATCCAGGAACATGGGGAGGCCGATCTCTGTAGGGCCCTAGAGACACCATGAAACAGATACAGAATTTTCATGACCAATTAAGATGTACATCTGTATTGACATTTGCAGTTATAGTGAAGGTGGCTAGCATCCACTTAAGGTTCTGTGAAAGGCTGGTGTTCAAAACATTAACAGTTGGCATGAATTCCTGCCATTGACGCTAAGATGATCAGGCTCTGCATGTAGCCTGTGCATACTGCATTTCCTGAGTACATTATGTGCATTATCTATTGAATCCCCTTATGAATCTTATTAATTCAGCATCCCCATTTCCCAATGGAGTAACTGATGTTCTGTAAAAGCCTAAGAGACTTGTTCATGGTCCCACAGCTAGCTAGCAACTGGATGAGAAAGAGGGCTTTCTGACCAGAGAGTCTAAGCTCATCAGGTGTTTTCACCAGGGTTCTCTAGAGGAACAGAGCAGGGAATGAATGTATGTATTCACATATATACATACATGTATATAAATGAATCAGAATGCATTAAGGGTGCCTCAACAATCAGAGGCACTCTGTCCACAAGGCAGGTGCCTCACTAGTCCCAGTCTGGTGCTGGGAGCCCAGAAAGTTCCTGGAAAAACCCTGGTTCCTAGTTAATGATGTGAGTTTGGAAACGCTGGTTCTGCAGTCAGCAAGGAAATAATCAGTAATAGGGCCACTCAGCAGCAAGGGGAAGGCCAAGCAAGCAAAGGAGGAGGTGTTCTTCCTTCCTTCCCAAAGGCCCTTTTCACCCAGGCTGCTGACTGAAAGCACTGCCCATAGTTGGGACAGGCTATCCCACATCAACCAAGGCCATCAGGACAGTTCTTCAGGTGAGGATCCCTACTCAGGTGATTCTAATTTGTGGCAGGTTGACATTAAGACCAACTACAATAGTATTCACAGTCCCATAAAGGGGTCCTTGTCTCCTTCTGGACAAAAGTGAAGTGGCCACAGGCTAGCCAAAGTTGAGGAACTGAAGATGTGTGATCTAGCTCCTGAGGCTAACACAACTCCAGCTCAGACAGCAGTCTGGGACCTGTAAGTCTGTGCCAGGTGCTCATTTCATAGCTTATGGGTCTGAACTAGTGCAGAGGCCCTCCGAGTTTTGGACTTAGATTAGGTTCCACACTAGCCTTCCTAGACTTCACATGTAAATCAGATATAAAAACTTCTGATGGCCTGAGCCTGTGCTTGGACTCTTCAGTCTCTTCAAATCACATTCCCTGATATCCTTAGCCTGGAATACCATAGTACTGACACAAAAGCAACTCTCACCTCTAAGACAACAAGAGATGGTTTACTATGGAGCCAAAGCTGAGTGACCAGAACCAAGGAAGACAGATTTAGGTCTCCCAAAATACCAAACTGGAAACAGCTTCATTAAGTTTTTATAATAACAGAAAAGAGAAAGTACCAGATTAGGGCATTTTTAAAAATACACTGGCAGTTTGCAGCCAAGCAGAGAAATCTCAGATGCTCCCTGACAGCATTTTTGGCCCTTCGCTTGATGAGGAGCAGGGCTTTGTTAAGTCAGTACACAGAGGTGGGTGAGGAAAGTTACTTTAGAGGGGCTAAAGAGAGTGCAAGAGAAATTGTAATTAGGCTCTTGGTCTACACCATTCTAAAAACACAGTCACTGCAGTTTAAATCAGTCCACCTTTGTGCACATGGCTATTTTCCCCTCAGTATAATAGAGAGACCAAGACCATGGCCCTGGCCCAGACACATGGCTCCTGAAGACCACCCTTCATCCTATTTAGCTGACTACTACTGTCACCTGCCCTGGGGCTGAGGGTACAGGTGTCAAACACATGTCATACACAGCTACTCACATAGCAGAGGGGCCAGCAGCAGAAGGCAGAGAGCATCAGGGTGTCCTATCAAGGACTGAGAGGTAGACACCAGACAAGCACGGATATCTGAGAAGTACAGCCACTCCAGTCTCCTGCAGGCTATAACCACTAACACAACACACTTTACAATAGGGAAGTCTGGCACGAACAGAAACCCAGTTCACACCCAAGTGTGCAGCATTACCAAGGCAATGGGGAAGGGTGAGTACAGGCTCAGGAGATCCTGGAGTGTGAACATTCACAGAAAGGAGTGTTGGTCCCTGAGAGGGCATCTAGGCTGGGGCCTAGATTCCTTTGAAGGTCAGAAAGGCAAGATCCTCCTCCTCCTTCTCCTGCTGCTGCTGCTCCTGGAGTAAAGTAGTTCTTAGGAAGTTTAGAGGAAGGAATGTTAAGCAAGGCTAGGGCCAGCTGGAGACTCAGCCCTGTGAGGCTAAAAATCTGTGTAGCACACAATAGGGCTTATGAAGAGGATGGCTAAGAAAAGCTTGCTGGGATTTTATACAGGAGTGCTATTAGGGCCACAGCCAAGTGTCTGTCAGGCAAGCGCTATGTAGACCTCAAGACTCTGGGTTCTTGGAAAGGTGATGGCCAGGGATCCAACTCTGGTCTCATATTTAGGGAAGCCTTTTACAGCCTAGAGCACCCTCAGCACTTCATCCAGGTAGAGCTGTGGCCAGCAGCATGAAGAGGAACTTTCTATTCCCTTTTGTCATGGTGATGTGAAAACAGCACCTTGAAGCCTTGGGTGCTACAGGTTGACCAGGTCTTGTAGAAAAGGAATGAGAAAAAACTGGGCCTTAGATCTGTGTCTAAAGACATCTAGGGAACATCCTTTCCTTTTTAATGGCCATATTAATTCTATATAATAGGCTTCCTTATCATTTTGCATACATATGAATGATATTTTGGATAGTTACTCCCACTGCAGTTTTGTCTCCTCTCCGTTCACATGCTGTTCCTTCTGTCCTCCCAGGTACCGGGTGGTGGTCTCCTACCCACCACAGAGTGAAGCAGAGATCGAACTAAAGGAAGGTGATATTGTCTTCGTGCACAAGAAGCATGAAGATGGTTGGTTCAAGGGGACTCTGCAGCGGAATGGCCGCACAGGCCTCTTCCCAGGCAGCTTTGTAGAGAGCTTCTGAAGGTCGTTGCTCATGTCCCACTCTGCCATCTGGGGAAGGGGACCCCAGAAAACACTCTGAGCAGAGGAGACCGTAGCACCCAGGGCCTTTCTTGAGCACCCACCAGGAACAATTGGACTGGGGTGGTAACTCAGTCATGAAGGCCATGATAATTGAAAGCACACTTGGATGTCATCTTGATTGTGAAGACCATACCCTCATGTAAAGTCCTTATTGAAAGCACATGAGTGTCCTTCCAGACCATACCATAAATCTCAGTGAACAGTGCAACAGAAAAAGTTGTCCATGTGGACAAATGCACTACTAGGCCACCCAGAAGCTAAGGCAATATTAGTTGTCTATGCAGGGTTGGGAGCCCAGTGGGGAGGGTATAGAGTGGGGCTGTGTGCTAGGGCTGGTGGCAATGAAGAATAACTTCCCTGGCTGCCCTGGGTATCAGTCCTCTATATACCTCTGTCACCTGCCAACGAGCCCCACATCCAGGGCATTCATGGTTCAGAAGCCTCATAGAAGGGCTCTGAGTTTCCCAAGGTGTCCAGTGGGGTCCTGTCGGGCACTGCAGAATCCTCATGGCTTTGTCTCCTACTAGGATAATAAGGAACACCTTTTGGTTTTGCCACCACTATTTCTTCCTTCTTATGACACCTTTTTAATGTACAACTCTTAAACTTTATATATTTCTAATAGGTCAAACGCTGCATATTTTTCATACATCTGGTGCTGATTTTTGTAAAACTAGAAATCACTAAGCTTCAAGGGAAAAAAAATGAGGTAACATCAAAGGAAAGTTTTATATATTTCCCATATGAAGTTTGGAGCATGTTGAGGAATTCTTATCTGTAATATCAAAACGTTGGCTGGTGCTCCATGAGGTAACTGAGAGTCTGCTGAGACAGTGTCACATGGAGTTAGAGAGTGTCTTTCCTGGCTGTTGGAAATACCCTGAACTGCATCTAGATAAGAGTGATTATGATTTCAAAAAAGAAAAACGGGGAGGGGGAGGCATTTTGAGGAATCTATTCTGCCTTTTTGTGTGGCAGGGAAACATACACACAAACATACACACACAAAGACCCTTAAGCTTCCTTTGATCAATTTAGAGAGAATGACTAAAAATAGCATTCATAAAACACATCTTGCTGCCAAATGCAGCTTTTACAACAGCTCAGACCACTACCTTGCAAAAGGTTTTTTTTTTTTTTGCCCCTCCATTTCAAAAATAAGTGGGAAGGCAAAATTCTATCTGCTAGAGACCAAAGGTACAATGATAACACAGGTCTGATACATGACTATAGACTGACAGGGCCCAGAGACACTGGAAAATAAACAGGATGGTTCCTTTGGCTCTGAAGCCTTTGTTCACTGGAGCAACAGCTTGCTTCCAAGAGGATGGCCTGAATGGCTATCAAAAGGTGTGAGTGTCACACACTTTTTTTTTTTAAATCTCAAAAAATTTGTGAGCCTTTGTCTACATTTTTACAAAACTACCCAGACCTATGTTAAGCCTTTGGTAGCAGCAGCTAGCACTAGTTTTCATCGTAAAATAAGGATCACTTATCCTCAAAGTTCCTGTCTGGGGACATGATTTAACTCATGACTGCGGGTGGCTGCCACATGGAAGCAATGATTCCTCGAGAGTGCCTCTTCCTCTGTGATGATAGACTTACTGGAGGAGATTAGACAGAAGAAAACTGTTCTGAGCCAGAGAAACTCTAGCTTAGGCAAAGGGATCCCTGTATGCAGGGTGAGTGACAATCAAGAGGTATCTAGTCGCTGACACTGCTAAATTACCTGCCCATCCATGCACAGATCTATGTATGGTTAAATCCATAGTGTCACACATCCTGAGAGACATGTTTTTGGTAGAGCCAGAACTCACTCCAGTTTCCAGACAATAAAAGTCCCTTTTTACCTCCTAAACTTGGAGGCAACAGAATAGACAACTTTGACCTGCCCTCCTTTCTTGTGCTGGAGGAAAGTATCAAGGGGTCTTTGGAAAACATCAGCTGGACCCTCTCCTAACCAAGTCATGGGTTTACATAGGAACTTACCTTGGGGAGGGAAATAGGGCCCTGGAGCTCATTTCAAGATGTAGCTTTTAAAAATACACAGTGAGCCCCACGGCCTGAGTATTTCGAATACTATCAAACCCTTTAGCTTTCAAAATCATGTATTCCATAGTCGAAAACAGAAAAGAGGCACCTTTACTGAGGTCATCTGCCCTTGAGGATACATGTCTTAGCTACCAAAATGAAGCCAGCACCCCATCTAGAACCCCATCCTGGCCAAATATAGTAGTATTTGGTGGCCAGGTGATTTTCCTTGAATAGTTCTCAGCCCTTCATGTTGAGGGTCACCAAGGTGACAGGACAGTCAGAGAGAGACAAGATGGTCTGCAGTGGGACATGAATACAAGACTGGACACTCCAGTAGACTTGGAAGCCCTTATTCTTTGCACAACTCACATACACACAAACGTGCAAGCACGTGTCCCCAACCCCATATACGTTTCTATTATACACTAATGTCAGTATGTAATTTTGGATGAATTGACAGTAGTGGCAAACTATGATGCCTGTGTTTCTGAGTCTTTAAATAAAAATGACCATGGAGAGGCTGTGTGTCTCTCAACAGTGGGAAGAATGCAATTGGGACAGATGGTGTGAGCCCAGGTAAAGGGATGGGATTCAGTCCCTCAAAGGGACAGAATTGAGAGAGTTGTCTTAGTGTTCTGTTGCTGTAAGGAGACAACCATGACCAAGGCAACTTAGAAAAGAAAGCATTTATTCTTTTCCTTTGATAATTTTTTATTTAAAATTTGAAACAAGCTTGTTTCACATATCAATCCCAGTTCCTGAACCCTCTCTTCCTCCCCTACCCCTCATCACCCCCATCACACCCCCTTTCTGCTCCCATGGGGAGTCAAAGTCTGTCATATCATTCGGAGCAGAGCCTAGGCCCTCCCCCATGTGTCTAGGCTGAGAGAGTATCCCTCTATGTGGGATGGGCTCCCAACGTCCATTAAAACAAAGCATTTAAATGGGGCCTTGCTTACAATTTCAGAGGATCAACTATGATCATCAAGGTGGGAAGCATGACAGCAGGCAGGCACACACTCATTGTAATAGAGCAGAAGCTGAGAGCTGCCAGATGCAGGCAGAGAAAGATAAGGACTGAACCTGGTTTGACTTTTGAAGCCTCAAAGCCCGCCCACAATGATACATACATCTTCTTCAACTAACCCTTCTTAAACAGTTCACCAACTAGGAACTCAGCATTCGAATATACAAGCCAATGGGGGACATTCTCATTCAAACTACCACAAAGGCATTGCCTACATGCCCAAACCAGCCCTAAGACTCATAATTGTCACCTTCTGCTCTTTCAGGGGATTATAGGCTCTGTGTATATCAGGATGGGGAACTGAGGAGCCCAAGAAGTGGCCAGCTGTGAAGCTGAACATGATCTGAACCAAGCATACACTGATGTCAACTAGTTGTCGAGAAGCATCTATAGATGCCATTGTGACATGGAGTCAGTGGTGTCTTTACTTAAGTCCCTGTCATCCAGAATTATCTTGTATGAGCTAGGGCAAACTTCCAGCTCTGCTCTTCTCTCTGGCCCTTAGATGCTCAGGCCATAGAATTGTTTATGACTCAAGCCATGAAGAGCACAGGGTGAGAATAGATGGGGAGACATCACACTGAACCTCTTAGAAGAGAAAGTGGGAGGCACCCTTGAACAAATTGGTTCAGGAGACCACTTCCTCAGACACTGAGAACAACTATTAATGAATGGGACCTCCTAAAACTGAAAAGCTCCTGTAACACAAAGGATACAATCAACAAGACAAAACGGCAGCCCAGACTGGGAAAAGATCTTCACCAACCCCACATCCGACAGAGGGCTGATTTCCAAAATATACAAAGAATTCAAGTTACCAAAACACCAAATAATCCAATTAAAAGGTGGGGTAAATAGAGAATTCTCAATGGAGGAATCTAAAATGGCTGAAAGACATTTAAGAAAGTGCTCAACATCCTTAGCCATCAGGGAAATGCAAATCAACACAATTGTGAGATACCATCTTACTCCTGTCAGAATGGCTAAAATAAAAAAAAATTAAAAAAAAAAAAAAAAAAAAAAAAGCACCAGACAGTCTATGCTGGAGAGGGTGTGGAGAAAGGGGCACACTCCTCCACTGCTGGTGGGAGTGCAAACTCATACAGCCACTTTGGAAATCAGTATGGCAGTTCCTCAGGAAAATGGGAATTAGTCTGCCTCAAGATCCAGTAATTCCACTCTTAGGTATATACCCAAAAGATGCACATTCATACAACAAGGACATCTGTTCAACTATGTTCATAGCAGCATTATTTGTAATAACCAAAACCTGGAAGCAACCTAGATGCCCCTTAACTAAAGAATGGATTGAGAAAATGTACATTTACACAATGGAGAAAAACACAATGGAATCCTAAAATTCGAAGGGAAATGGATACAACTAGAAGAAAACATCCTGAGTGAGGTAACACAGTCACAAAAAGACAAACTTGGTACCTACTCACTCATATATGGATTTTAGGCATAGAGCAAAGGATTACCAGCCTACAATTCACACCACCAGAAAAGCTAGGACACAAGGAGGACCCTAAGAGAGACAGACATACATGTTCCCTTGGAGAAGGGGAAAGGGACAAGATCTCCTGAGAAAATTGGGAACATAGAGGGAGGGGAGAGGGAGTTAGGAGAGAGAGAAGGGTAGAAGAGGAGGGGAGAGGAAAGCATGAGGGAGAAGGAAGATTGAGACAAGGAAATAATAGAGAACAAGAGATCCCATAATTATGGGATTTAAGGGGAAATCTGGCACTAGGGAAATGCTCAGAGATCTACAAGGATGAACCCAACCAACAATCTAAACAATAGAGAAGAGGCAACCTTTAATGCCCTTCCACATTAAGGAGATTGATGATTACCATATATGCCATCCTATAGCCTTCATCTAGTAGCTGATGGAAGCAGAAGCAGACACCCGCAGCTTAACACTAGCCAAACTCCTGGAATCCAGTTACAGA